TTCTTACTGTCACAATGTACTCCAGATTTCTCCTTCTCTCGACAAGACCAAAGAATGAAGATCGTCTCTCTCTGATGTGGGCTGTCAGTTCTCTTCGTGAGTCAGTTTCTTTCAAAATATCTTCATTACCTTTTTTATCTGCTTAGGTCTTCCATCTATGAAACCACATCTCCAGAGCTTCCAGATAATTTTTCACAAATCTACAAACTGTCCATGATTCACTTCCATATTTCAAGATAAGATTTATAAACCTGATAAGAATTCTTTTTTTCGTCTTAGTTGACAAAGAAAGATTTCATAAAACTTTCTTCATGTTGTAAAAAAAAAAAAAAAAGTGGATAATTATGTGAAATATTGATATAATGGAAACTATTTTGATGAATCACCTCAACTATCACAGCTGGAGCGGGAAAGTAAGTGTAGAGCTGGTCGCAGTGACAGCACTCAAGAACTGTCTGGAGTCAGTCACCGTGCAGCGTAAACAATTGATGTCTACAAACTTCGATCTTTACCTGCAGCAGACCGGGTACTTATGGGCTCGCTTTAGTGTTGTGACGTTGTTTTTCAAAATATTCATTATCATAATGTGCCTTGCCGATAAGTCTGTGCGATTACTGATCGTCAGCTCACAAAATTAGGAGCCTCCAACTAACTCTTAGTCCCATATATGTTCCTTGTTGTTCTTGTTTGCATATACCTGCTGTGAACCCCGACGGGAAGACTTGTTTGTTCGTCCATTTCTCGACGTTGCCCTTGTTCCAGGATTTGAGTTTTGCATGTGAATCTGTTTTAAAGATCTTGCTTATTTGTATGCAGACTGTTGGTTCCTTGCCTCTCAGGCAGATGCACTTTTATTTCAAAGCCCCAATTAGTCGACTCTTACAACATGAATGTTGGGCTAGCAGCGAGTGTATTCTTGTTTTCCCCACAATGGGACCCCGGAACAGACAGGGGAACCTCTCAATTGTATTACTTGAACTTGTTGTTTAAAGTATTACTTCAATAAATATTAAAATCTCATGAAGTTGAACAGAACCAAACCACTTAGGGTTCGAAGTGGCAAGGTCAAGAATGTTAAGTTGTCGAAAGCGCTTTGTAATTTTGGGTACCGAGTTAGATACCAGCTGCGTCAAATTTAGCAGCAGTCTCCCTTGCCTTGGTTTCATCAGGAGTATCGACAGCCGACCTTTAAGGAGCAATGGCAAACTAATGAACGTAATATTGCCTACGGAAACCACAACAAACCAAAATTGATGGAGCTGTTTCTGCCACTGGACATGCAACTTTTAGGGTGGCCGGGGGGGGGGGGGAGGGAGGGAGTTGATGTCTTCGTCTCCTGTATCATTTGTTTCCTGTTTTAGTGCCTATTTGATGATTTTCTGCTCGTTTTTTCTCATGATGTGTCCAGTATAGCTCCTTCTCCTTAGTTGTTTAACTGTTGTTACCGGTAGTTGAAAAGACATACCTCCTATTTCTTCTCCACTATCAAATTCATCCCATTTTAGGTTCAACATTTTTTCTCAGGTATTTACCAAAGCAGCCACATTTAAATGATTAACTACATGAACATAGATATTTTTTTAAGTTAACTCTTTGAGTCCCAAGGAACGCCTCTTACGTTCATAGGTTCCTACCCATAAGCCCAATGAACGTATGGTGCGCCGATTTTATGTCTCTTTTCGCTACCCCTTGGGCCTGTGATGCTAAACCCCCTGGGACACAAAGAGCTAAGTGGTCCGTGAATTATACAAATATCCAAATGATCCTTATCGCACGAATGGTTTATAATACCTCTTTAAGTTGTTTTTTTTAAGACACGAAATACATATTCATATATGTATGTCTTCATTTTCTTTTTTTTTTTTCCAGCTTCTTCACACAGTTTTTGTTGTATACATGCTGCATTTGAAGACCCTCAGTTTTGTAAATGTCATCTATTGGTTGCTATGCTGTTTTGGTTACCGAGTAAATAATTCAATCAACAGGTATTCCTGATTGCAGAGCGCTTAGAGACAAGTGACCAGATGAAAATGATTATGAGTTAGATGAGAAACAAGGAGGAAATATGCAGAAGCATTTGAAAAGTGCAATGTATATAACAGACAACATATTTCTGTTAACGTCTAACGCTTCTCTGAAAATGCTGTAATGTTCGAACGTCATATCAAGATTTTTGTTAATCAAATTTTCAGTATACATATGTCATCATCGTCATCATCATAAATATCATCATTTTCATTATCATTACCACCACCCCCAACATCATTATCATGATCATCAACATCATCATCCCGTAAAACTGCGTGTGGTTGGGTCACCAGTTGCTGTTGACTGTCTGATCAGCTCTCTCCACAATTGACGGTCAGATACTAGGAACTTCATAGTTGCAGGCCTAAGTCCTGTCCAGTCAGTCAAGTTCTGTATCTAGATCTTTCACGGTCTGCATCTTCGTCTTCTCATATATGTAAAGTCTCGTAGAATGTCTTTCCCACTCCTGATGACCTCAACAGGAATTCTATGTCTGCCTGTGGCCTTCCCGAAAACCAGTTTATCAGCATGCCTATCTTCCACAGTTGTTTGAAATGTGTCCAGGTAGTTGGGAGCTGGTAGAGCGTGCATGGCATTAAGAGCACGATCTGTTGGTGTAGTCTACACACAGCTCCAGAAGTTCATGTTACAAATGTCCTGCCAGTCGAGGACTGATATTAATAATAACCCCTACCAGGAGCAAACATTTATTCATTTTAACCGAGTGTTTTTCTTATGTGAGTTCATATTAACTTGGTTCTTTGTATCAAATGTTCCAGAATTCATTTAATACGAAACAACGCACCTGGAGCTCTCTTTTTTACCTACTAAATTTTCCGTAACTTTTATCTTGCTAGCACAATAACCCACTTCTTTATCTCCCTTTTTATTTCAAAGCATTTTGTCGAACGTGGTTAATATTTTAACCCTGTCAGACCCAGACGTATTATACTGTTAGTAACGCCTTATTTGTTGCCGGGCCGGTCCACGACAATGCCGGGTTGGCCACTCGATTTTACGTCAGATCAAAGGACCAAAGAGGAAACCATCCGATGTGTTATGATATGTTATTTTATAATAATCGACGTCTTTACATACTGGGAATTCCTATGCGTGCTCAATCCTCAGATGCAGCAGCCACTCCAATGTACCTCAACTACCGATGTGTGTGTGTGTTTGCGTCTGTCTCTGTCTGTGTGTGTTCTTTTTTTTTTTTAATAAGTTGATTTTTTTTTTAAAGTAAGTAAAAAGCGAAGGACCCCTTTTTCACGTCTTTATGCGTATAGGGCATATAGGGCTAGACCTATATTTTATAGACCTATCTGCACAAGAAGGGTGATGTGGTCAGCATCACGCCCGAGCCTTTACTTTCCAGGACTTCACTCGGCGCCCACTCAAGGCTGGGTCGATCCAGCACCCACTCAAGCCTGGGTCGACCTGGGAGCCAAGGTAATTTCTGAAAAAAGTCAGGAAGCGAACCCACGACCTTCCGATCCCCGGTGAGCTTCTAGCCGCTTCGGACTCCCGGTAGTTTAGTTTATGTGGTGACCGAATCCGCCCTTTGACTTGACCCAAAGGTCTCAAGTTAAAGTACGAATTTCCTGGCAATAAAAGAGTTAACTAAGGAGTTTGACCATTTGTGAGAGCAACTCTAGGCTCGATCAACGTGTAATTTTCATGCAACTTCGCAATAAATAATCGAATAGAAACAACATTACCAGCATTTTCGATGACAATTGTTCCATTAATTCATCTCATTCTCAGTTATTAATTTAACATTTTGTGCTCTCTACACTTGTGGGATATTGTTCTGAGATGAAACTCAGGGCAGTCCTGACACACCGTTCATCATCGTCATCACGTGCACTGCCGACTGGCGTTCATGCATCTTCACAAATCTCAGCCCCTTGCCCTCTGGATCAGTTCCACCGATGACATCCCTCCATGCCACAGTCGTAGTGCATCAGTCATCATCTCTCTTGGTCTGCCACTCCCTCTTCTACCGTTTATCCTCCTAGTCGTCACAATATTTCTCAATGTCCCACTCCCCATCTTCTCTTCCACCATTTACCTCAACGCGGTGTTGCTGGAGATGTGAAGATCGTTTGTGCGCTTTTCCCAATGCGTTGTACAAGCTGGTGTTTATTTCTGTTAGGTTGCTCCAGATGATGTCGCTCATTATTTTGCGTGGTCTTCCCCTTGCTCTGTGTTCATTATACTTCTTCAGTGTGGATCTCTATGGCAGCTGGTACCAGAGCATTCTCGTCAGGTGGTCAACCATCTTATTTATTGTTCTTTAATAAATTGTATGTTTCAGTCCTATTTTTCTATTTTTGTTTCATTCTTGTAGGAAATGTATCTTTTTCTTATAGCTGTATATACTGATTTTTTGCTTCTTAATTATTTAAAAGTCCTTCTTTGTTATACCAGTGGTAAAGAAATGGTAATAGAAAAAGTGAAATGCTAAGTTATTATTTAAAACATAAATACTTCTACGAATGAAGAGATCTAAATGTTTTGTTTCGTCTTTTTCAGATAACTTTTAAAAGGCTGGCAGCGATTTTTCAAGCACAACCTGACGAGTAAACCAAAAGATATTAGACCAGTAAATGATTGCTGGAAATTTACAAAGAACACTTCACGAGAAAATTCGGATAACATCACAAATATTCCATTAATCAGACAACTGAAGTATATTTTACACGTAAAGTTTTAGCGGAAGCCTAATATGTCCATGGAAAATCAAAACATTATTAGGTGTATAAAAAAAGTAACAAACAAATAGATCCACCTGTATCTGTCACGGAGAAATCAATGTTCTTGTTATTTCATCCTAATATTAAATAAAGATTCCATTTAAAGTGTATCTTGCAGAAGTGAGAAACAATATTTCTTTATATAATTGGAACCTTTCATTAGTTCCATTGACTTATCAAAGTTCGCAGTGACTAAATTTCTTGCCGAAATTAGCCATGAATTCAAGTAGATTTGAGATAAATAAGTGGCTAACATTTACGGCATTTCTTGTTATCGTATTCTTGGCAACGCTTGCAGTTAGAGCAGAAGAGGAAGAAGAAAACTGTGGCAACGGTTGCCATAGTGTCGACCCTGACCCCTCCCAAATGTCAAGGTGTGTGCGTTACGCTTGCAGAAGGCGGGTCTTTCGTTATTTCATCAGGTTTGGTAAACGAGGCGATGTCTACCCGGCGCAACCAGAACTTCAGTCGGCATTTCCGAATGAGGACAGCGGCTCGGAAACGCTGCTGTTACCGAAGATTCACGAAAAGAGCACTCACAAACGTAAGCAGCTCATATCCCTGCCTGAGGTACCTCAACATCGATCCCAGGAAACATCACAACGACAGCAGCAGCTTAACTACCGCCGCCAGCAGAAACTCTTGGAGATGCTACTAAGGTTCGGCTGAGCCAGTCCTGATTTTACTGAGTGGTGTTTGTAACCGTTATTTGTTGAGCCTTGATGTACTTGCTGACAAATCATATGCCACACGTAATCTGTCTTTGGAGTTGTTTTTGTAAACTTTTATTGAGTTCTGTTTTCTGTGTTTGTCTGGTACAATTTTTGTGTTCTATAATGATGATTAATCATAATATCTCAACCATAACTATTAAAATAATAGTAGCAATAATAATAACAACAACAATGGTAGTAGAAGCAATCCAAAACAAAAACACAACAAATAAGTATTAGATTTCACGCCTTGTGGCGTAGTAAGTATACGGGTCGAAATATGCACTTTAAAAAAAAAAATAAAATAAATCTCAGCCTTAGTGGGAGTTTGAACTGAGACCACTAGGACGACAGCCAGGCATGCTAGACACCGCGCTATAACGGCTCTAAGTAGTAATAATAGTGATCAAGTGATAGCAGGAATGATAGGGGTGATAATAATGGTGATGCTAATGATGATGATATAATCAGTATGTCAGTTGGAGTTTAACTTCATCGCAAATGGGTCACCCCATTATTGCTTCATTTCTGTGCTTGTGAAAACCATACAAAATGAACATTCAGTCTCGGTAAAATCACATTGTTAGCACACACATCAAATGCATAAGACAGTCGCCAAAGGTGCTAATATCTATGGTCTGTCACTATAACTGCTATAGAAACGACGGTGGAAAGTTCTGCTTGTTCATACACTTCTCGACTAGTCTTGTTCCAGAATTTGAGTTTTGCGAGCACATACATTTATATATCAGACTTATTTGTACACACGATGTTGATTTCTCGCCTTTCATGCAAATGGTGTCCAACTTTCACGGAACCACTCTTAATAAGTCGACGTTTACGACATATTTATTAGGGGTGGGTCTACCCCCCCCCCCCCCTTTTCCACAATGGTGCTCCATAACCCACACGGGGATCTTGAATAAAATCTTGAAAGGGGCTGAGGGTATATTTGTGTGTGAAACTACCAGCGAATGAACAGAGAATGGGTGATCAAGGAAATAACATCGTCAGATTTATTAATAATTACACAGCTGCACCAGAGAGGACGTAGGACCTCCAACCAAGCGACCTGAATAGCGTTGCAGAGAAATTGTCCTCCTCCTTGTTCTCCTTCTTCTTCTTCTTCTTCTTTTTCTTCTTCTTCTTCTTCTTCTTTCTTCTTCTTCTTCTTCTTCTTCTTCTTCTTCTTCTTCTTCTTCTTCTTCTTCTTCTTCTTCTTCTTCTTCTTCTTCTTCTTCTTCTTCTTCTTCTTCTTCTTCTTCTTCTTCTTCTTCTTCTTCTTCTTTTTCTTCTTCTTTTTCTTCTTCGTTTTCTTTTTCTTCTTCTTTTTCTTCTTTTTCTTTTTCTTTCTTTCTTCTTCTTCTTCTTCTTCTTCTTCTTCTTCTTCTTCTTCTTCTTCTTCTTCTTGTTCTTCTTGTTCTTCTTCTTCTTCTTCTTCTTCTTCTTCTTCTTCTTCTTCTTCTTCTTCTTCTTCTTCTTCTTCTTCTTCTTCTTCTTCTTCTTCTTCTTCTTCTTCTTTTTCTTCTTTTCTTCTTCTTCTTTCTTTCCCCTCCTCATCTTCTTCTATGTCCACTTTCTACTAGTCAGCACTCTACTACTCCTTTTCTTTCTTCAGTACCACTTCTTCCCTCTTATACTTTGTTATCATTATTGTCACTATCGTCTGTGTCCTCTTTTGTTGGTTATCACTACATGAAATGATTGTCCGATGCTAAGATTCCCGCCTTTGTGTTGCTAACAAGAATTACCCACATCTCTATCATCATCAACAGGTGCCCGGCCGACTGGCGTGGGCGATCATGCCTCTCCATAATCTGCGATCTCCTGCAGCATGTATCAGTTCGTGTGCTGACACACTTCCACGCCATGCAATAAGACTGTCAAGCATCTTCTCTCATTGTCTTCCTCTACCCCTCCTTCCAGATCTCTATATACAATATAATGAAATGACCGAAACTCATTTTTTAAAAACATGTTAAAAAAAAAAAAATATGATGTGGAAGATGCCATCGCCTCAAGTTAATTATCTGACAAATGAACCCTCTCCCCACAGTGACAGTTTCAAATGTTCCGCATTGAAATAAAATATAAATACGAAATGAGCCATACAAAAGTGTATAATGCAATCAATTATCAAGGGATGATGGGCGCAGAGAATAGCAACAGCTGAATCCAATGATACGCTTCAGATTTCTAAAACTGAGTTAACACATTTCTTCGTGTCAATCAACGCACTTCGAGAATCAATGACTCAACCAATCATTCAATCAAGAATTTACATCACTACACTCGGGGCGTTCCCACACGTGCTCGACCCCTTTTCAGTAATTAATGAAGAGTTTACATGCTAATATTACCAGTTCCAACCTCATTCAGTCCGCCTTTGCTTCCCCTTTAATGTTGGATGTCTTCTAGAACAGCCGTTGTCAACCTGTGGGTCACGTCTCTTTTTTGGAGTCAAACGATCCTTTCACAGGGGTCCGCAAAAACCATCACAAAACACACATTCGTTGAAGTTATGAAGTTGCCAAGAAAATAACTGTATTGTTGGGGATTCGCCACAACATTAACACCTGCATTGAAGGGTTTCAGCACTAGGACATTTGAGAGCCACTGTTCTAGAAACCTCTACTTACCACTGTTTAATTAGTAATTCAGTGTATCGATTCCATATCTGTTTGTGTACTGTGCGTTTGATTCCATAGAGTCTTCACAATATCCGCTTTATCGTATAGTAGCTCACCGTCCAGAGGAGTGGCAGCCATAAATTTATCCACCTGCATGTTACCTTGTACACCTGAACATCCTGAACAGAAAATCCATGACATGCTCGTGATCTGGTTATTACCAAATGATGCAAACCACTTTGCGCGCAGGACACCAATTTTAATTTTCCGAAGCAAGCTCTGTGAGTCTACTGCAGTTACAACATTTCAGGCTGCGCTGTTCTCAAACATCGGAAAGCTGTCGTTACTGCCTCCACCTCCATTCTCATAATGGATGCAGTGACGTTGTAAGCGAGGAAATAAAATCCCACCCACACTTCTTACCTGTCACTGTACACCCATCTGTATATATTATGATGTCACCTGGACTTGAATGTTTATTGATCAGCTCTTGCATTGCTATCCATTCTCTCACCCTTGGTCCAAGGTAACTATCAATTTGTGCAAATCTGTTTTGCTGGGCGGCACTGTAACTCATTCTTTACCTTGGGGTATCCTTTCAGTAGCACAAACAGTTATGATGGTGACTTCTGCTTGTGCCACCCAAAAGCCACGTCTCTTCAGCCGTTGTCCCTTGTTATCCCCTAAGGCCCCATGCAGAAGAAGTCTTCGTTGCGACCCTAAGGTACAGTTCGGCCAGTGAAACCTTGTATATCCCTGCAACGAGTCTAATTTTTCCTAAGAAAAGATGTATGAATTAATAATGAGGTCAGAGACTGAAAATAAACTATGTATTTCAGTTTGGACAACTTGGGTTAAGGAGGAACGAGTTACAAGTTTGATTGCAATGCATATACCAGATTGAAATTGTCATGTGTGAATCATCGAAAAACACGGAGGCACGAAAAAGTTACTTAAGTCGAAGAAAAATCGAGAAAAGTGAGTCTCGTTTCGGGTTTCAGGAAGAGTGTGTCTGTGATAAATGAAGTTAAAAGTTGATTTTTGAACCAGATTTGGCTGTGAGTTCTTGGACAAACCTGGCTATCGTTCGTTTTGCAATTCTGGTCCAGACCGGACGTGTTGTTGTTTAGTCAGAGTCAAATATACGCATCAAGTTGTCGTCGTCAAATTGTTAATGTGCTCATTTAATGTAAAGGTAATTACTCCGTTGAACTGTATTTTGTGCGAATAGTTGGGTTGCAATCCCTGGACCTCCACCCCAGGGTGCACTGGCTTGGAGGCCATTTAATGAATCAATAAACATTGACTTTTGATGTTAGCAACAGCTGCGTGTTCGCATTGTTTGTCTTTGAACATGTTGAAGTGAAACTCGATGTGAACCCGAGAAGACTGCAGATGACTGGAGCCAAGAGAGCGATAGAAGGATGCTCGTTGCACTCTCATACCGGGATGGTAATACAAGTATGTGCCAAATGCACGCAATTGGCGTGTCTCGTGTACATCCCAAAATTACTCGCATGGCTTCATTTTGTATACCTACCAGCTTCCTTATTTCTGTTTGAGATCATTTACAGAAAGATACTCCATTAATGAAATAATCAGTTGTAGGTAGAGTGTATAGAGCATTTTCTGTTCTATGTCTGCAGTTGCTGGTAGAGTGTGTAGAGAATTTTCTGTTCCATGTCTGCAGTTGCTGGTAGAGTGTATAGAGCATTTTCTGTTCCATGTCCGCTGTTGCTGGTAGAGTGTGTAGAGAATTTTCTGTTCCATGTCTGCAGTTGCTGGTAGAGTGTATAGAGCATTTTTTGTTCCATGTCTGCTGATGCTGGTAGAGTGTATAGAGCATTTTCTGTTCCATGTCTGCTGTTGCTGGTAGAGTGTATAGAGCATTTTCTGTTCCATGTCTGCTGTTGCTGGTAGAGTGTATAGAGCATTTTTTGTTCCATGTCTGCTGATGCTGGTAGAGTGTATAGAGCATTTTCTGTTCCATGTCCGCTGTTGCTGGTAGAGTGTATAGAGCATTTTTTGTTCCATGTCTGCTGATGCTGGTAGAGTGTGTAGAGAATTTTCTGTTCCATGTCTGCAGTTGCTGGTAGAGTGTATAGAGCATTTTCTGTTCCATGTCCGCTGTTGCTGGTAGAGTGTGTAGAGAATTTTCTGTTCCATGTCTGCAGTTGCTGGTAGAGTGGGTAGAGCATTTTCTGTTCCATGTCCGCTGTTGCTGGTAGAGTGGGTAGAGCATTTTCTGTTCCATGTCCGCAGTTGTAGGTAGAGTGTATAGAGCATTTTCTGTTCCATGTCCGCAGTTGTAGGTAGAGTGTATAGA